TTGAGCTGACTTCTAATTTGGTTTATAATTAGTCATTTGAGAGCATTGTAATAAGTCTTGTTACTTGGTTGGATAATAAACTATATTTATCTTTTTGGAAAATATAAATCGATAGTCAAAGTAATTTTTTATAGTGTATGGAATATGATAAAGAGTACTGTTAATAGAAATTATAAATAACAGTATTTCTTCCAATCATGTATCTTCTGAATATGTGCATACAAACGAACATTACTCTTCTTATTTGTAAAGGAATTAATTTGGTTCGAACAGATATGCAAATATCTTCAATAGAATAGTAGATAAAAACAGTATTCATCATAGTATTATTGACATAAAACTTGACTTTAGAATTTATCTGTTCCATCTTATTCTTCAGTTCTTTCCTCTTTCATCCATTATCGATAAGTATATTTTTTTCTTCCGCACTCTTCATATATTTTCTTCTTAGCTTGTTTCTCGTATATTACGATCAGCGTCCATACACTTATTTTTTTCTCTTCTTACAATCTCTAGCGATTTGTTTTGGACCTAATTTCTCTTTCTTAGTTTGTTTCTTGCCTGATAAATGTAGCTGTGGCTATTTTCTTCCGTGTTTACAGTTTAGATCGTTTCTTATGATTTGTCTTCCATTTCTATCTATTGCTCGTATGTCTTTAATTATCGCATATTCTATATTTCTAATCATTTCTTCGTTCTGAGTCAATATTTTAGCCCTTGACATTTTACCATAAAAGTATTTTAAAATTGCCGAAATTTTTCATTTTTAACCGAAAAGGATGAATAATAGCGGAAACTACTAAACTGATAGAATATGGCGTCGAGAAAAAAAATCAATTAAATATTGTATCGAAGACGAGAATATACAAACGGTCGATAGTAAATAATTTTTCTAATTTGATATTCCTTAGCTATTAGTAACGGTAGATATAAATGAAAAACGAATTACTGATCTTGATCATGATTTCTGATAGTTCACAAAATTTTTCAATAAATTTCGCGTGACATTTACAATAATCAATTATTTAGTAATTAGCAAAGTCTTCTTAGAGAGAGATACCAAATCTAGAGTGCGTGTTCTTCTTTTAAGAAATATATATTTTATCCTTCTCGAAAAAGATTTTTTTTACTAAATAAAACTCTTTATGCTTGAATAAACATCCACGTATACATCTTTCATTAGCTGATAGATATGCATGAGAGAATTAAAATTTCCATGCTTGTCTATGACAATCATTATGAGTCTTTTTTGAATACAAATGTTACCGATGAAAAAATTGGAATTTTACTCCTTTTTCTTTGACACATTGTCATGCATAAGCCTTTCGTTCTCTAAAACAGAACGTAATTAAAAAATTTCAAAATATCTACGAGATGTTTCAACTTAAAAAATTATAGAAAGTGAGATTGAATCTAGAATACAATCAAGCGTACACTCCTGAGGCCACTCCAAATAACCATGCCCATGCTCACCTGAAAATTCATTCCAATTTTTAAAATAATTCTGGAAATACTGTTATTTCTAAAGAGGCTGCCAGTAGATCTCTCTTCTAGAATTTTTCGACTAACAAAAAAAAAGAGAAAAGCGTACTTTATTAATGAGTCTTAGTATGAGTTCTTATAATTATATAGCGTATAGATTTTTTGCATCATCAATTTTTCTTGTTCATACTTAGACAAGCATAACATTTACATTTTAGATTTTTTTTTCTAGAAAACACACCGTGAATTTTAATTATAAGAATGATCAAGTATCGACACGATTCAACTGACAAGTTACATATCAAGAAGCAATCACAATATAAATATTGATGCTTGTTCCATTCTATAAACTACACATTTAACTGACTTTTCGTTCGTCATTTCTATATCTCATTAAAATTCATTAAAGTTTTTATATAAAACTTGAAGTAAGTCGTTTCCTCATATATCCCAAAAGAAAAGAGAAACTCATTATAAAAATGATAGTTGTCTAGTTAATTATGACTAATCAAGATTCGATAAAAGCACTTACTGAATGTAATGAGACGATATCATAAAAGGAAAGTGTACTCAAAAAAACAAAAAAAGTTTATTGCACGTCTTGAGTTTTCCGTCTATGACAATCAATTCTGAAGAGATCTATCTTGATCGATTGAAATTTAGAGTTACCACTATGTTTAAGTTTAAATATTTCAGTATAATTTTCATCATCAACACTGATCAAACAGATCATGATAAAATTTTTTCTTCATATGCTAAGCTGTGCTCATGTTTAGTCGAATATATAGAAATAAGAGTTCAATATTTTTTTTTTAATTTCATCCTATTATAATTTTTTGATTGTCGTTCGCATCTAACGAGACGATACTGTGTGCGATATTCAATAACAACAAGAATTACAAATAGCGCAATCTTCATAGAAAGAAATTTTTTGATAAGCTTCAATACAATTAAGCAATAAATGGTCATTTAAAGATCAAAATCGATTTATGCTAAGATTAGAAAAATAAATATTTCGATCGAATCGTAAAAATTAAACAAAGTCCGAAGATCTAAATTAACTGAAGTTTTATAATATGCGTAGAGAAGATTAAATCAATAACAAAAAAAAAAGACGATTGATCGAATTTGAATTTTATCAAGAACAACATTAACCATCAGTCTTTCGGTCAATAGTGAACGTTCGAGATCAGTTTAAATACTGTGAAATCGAGCAAATCATTAATCATAAAAGTTCAATCAACCTGTTTGGAAAAAATTTTCGGTGATGTACTAACACAACTAGTTCCTCTTTTGAAATTATCAAACCGAAAAATTAATATTTTATTCTTATCACACAAAATTTTTAAATGAAGTTTCTTGTTTACAATTGACCTTCGTTTTACATTCATGATGTTCATATCCAAAATAAACATACCTTTTTTTGTGCAACATTAAGATTATTCGAAAATATCAAAAAAAACTCAATCTAATCGATATAATATAGCTTAAAATAATTTCTAATAAGTACAAAGATCATTTTTTCCATTCTGATCTTATATATTTGTAATAAATAAGTAAATATCTGTTTTCCTAGGTAACATGTAGCTATTTTAACTTTTTTAAAGATGATTATATTGATATAAATTTTTTCTTCCGATATTTTCATTGATAGAATAACCATATGGACGATCTATCATTAATAACATTTAACACGACTTATATTGAACTACAATCGGAAAATCGAACACTCCTTACGGTAGCTATTATTCCATTCTATTTTCTTATATTTTTCTTTGGTATTATTGGCAATATTCTTGTTATTTGTAAGTATTTTTCTTTTATTAAAAGCAAATATTTTTGTATTTGCATTTTCTAGTCATCATTTGTCGTAATCAAACAATGAAAACAGTTACTAATATTTTCATTGCTAATCTGTCTTTGTCGAATATTCTTGTGAGTATATTATCATATTTTTATTACATAAATTATTGATAATCTTTTTATTAATTGTCAATTTTCTCATTACAGTTGTGTTGTCTAGCAGTCCATTTACACTAATATCATTTTATCATGGTACTTGGCGCTTTGGATATATTCTATGTTCCTTAATACCAACATTGGAGAATATTAGTGGTAAGCTGATATCAATAAACATCGTGTTTCGAACAAAAATTCGGTAGATAAAGTAATTGAAATGTGTAATCTATATTTAGTGTATGTATCAACATTAACTTTGTCAGCTATTGCAATCGATCTCCATTCTATTATCACGAAACCATCTCGATCTCGCAAGCGATTTTGTCTTTGCACAGTTATAATAATCGCTATTTGGGCAGTTGGTATCATATATTCATTGCCATTGGCGCTTCATATGGATTTACTAGAAAATAAATGTGTAGTAAGCAGAAAAATCAATTTTTCTACTTTGTGATAAACACATTGAACTAACATTAAGCAATCTTTATTGAGCAGATGGAAAATAGCGATAAATTTGTCAGTGACGGCTCTCTTCAAGAAAATCACTTTTCATCAGAATCATTGAAACTGAGATAGATCCATAGAGAGATAGCTTGTCATTTGCTCTTTCATAAACAATAAAAAATTTTCTTCAATACTTTCTTTTTTTCTCAAAGTGATGCCTGAACGACGCATCTCTAACGAAAGTCAAATATTTTTTTTTTGTTTGAAAGAGCATCAAACACTCCAGTACCCTATGAGAGCCCCTTTTTTTGATAAAGTATTGTTATTATTATATTGATAAGCAATTTTATAATATGAGCACCAATTTTTTTTTGAGAGATTTTTGAGTGATTGAAGTTCTCAAGACTTTTTTCGTCCATAAACTATGGTCTTCATAAGTACTGCATCCTGGCATGCTCTTTTAAATGAAAAAGCAATCAACCATATTGAATGAACACTCACATTTCAACCCTTGTTTGGTTCGTATTTCTGTTATTCATCAGGATCGGAGACTGAAAATTTTATCACAGACGTCCTTTTATAGCCCCAATATATTCTTAAAATTTCATGACATTTGGATAGTTATAAGCTGTGATCAATTTTTAAGGGAGGCCAGGGACGGGGAGATGGGTGGCCTTCAACAATTCGTATAAAAAAAGAAAAGAAGGTTCATATGGACAATCAGGTACCATTGCTAGAATTAACATTTCATTGTACAAGATATGATATCTGTTGGAAGATCATCAGTAATAAAAAAGAAAAGTGATTTTAATTGATCTTAGTTATAGATACAAGAAACATAGACTATTTCATTGATAATTTAGGAAAATTGGCCATCGAATCGATCTCGTATTATTTACAAGTTCTCGTCACTCATATACCAATTTATAATTCCATTTATGATTATTTTATGCGTTTGCTATAAAATCTGTATGGGTTTGGCACATCATTTATCGCTTGAAAGAACACATGCTAGGGAAGAAGCAGAAATTCATCGACAAAAACCTATGTATTATATGTTCATTTTCATGGTGATCATCTACTTTATTTGTTGGATACCCTTAAATATAATTAATATGATGGTTGATTTTGATATAATCAACTATAATTATTATAATTTACTCTTTTGTATTTCACATATTCTTGCCATGTCATCAACTGTCTACAACCCGTTTCTTTATTGGTATCGCAACGATGATTTTCATCAAGAGTTTCAACGAATTATGCCATTTTTATCTAAAATTTGCCCGTGCATTAATAGAAATCGATCAAGAATGCCTATATCAAGTAACCCAATAGCTATGGAAAGCGCTAAGGATTGTGCAAATCAACCATAAACTTACACGTTGCCGATCAATGACTCATGTCAAAAAACAAAAGACAACAATCATGAGGACCCTGTTTTGCGAACGCTAAATGAATAGAAGACAAGAAAAACTGTTGCTCCCTAAAGACTCTCCTTTCTATTCATCCAAAGTCATTACTAATTGGGTCAATCGATCGTTCGATAACTGCAAATGCTAATGGTAAAATGTAGAACTGAAGTACAGCATTTATTTATCGAATAGACTGTCATCTATAGCCTCTCCTTTATCCTACTTTCATTTATCCTTGTTTAAGAAAAGCATTGATTAGAAATTGAAAATAATATTTTAAACTTTTTGAATTTAGTTTTAAACTGGCCTCAGTTCGTTGAAAGTACAAATCAATCTCATTATAGATTTGTGTCACTACAGTTATGCTAAACTAGATACATCAAAAAATTAAATTATTAAAAATAATGAAAAATCAAACTGATTAGAAAAGGAAGAAAAAGAATTGAAATCAATATAATTTGATCTATGTCCTAAATAAGATATCATAATGATATATTTATTTACAAAATGTGGAAAAAATTAAGAAAGTAGTATCAATGTGAAACCTGCATTATATTGAGTAATGAATGGCAATTCATGACAAGTGTTTTTTGTGAGTCTTACAATCTCAATGCTCTTCAGACCAGGTTATAGTAAATTCATCGTTATCAATAAAATAATATCGAAATATTCAGATTATTCTGTTCTCTTGTGATTAATCGCACATCATAACTTTCTCCTTTCTCATCACATATGTATGATGTACGCTTTCCTTTCACCTTATTTTCGTTCCTTCAACCTCTTTTATAGGCATCCATTTTTTCTTCATAATATATAAAATTCTTCATCGTTAAGCCTTTTCTCATTTTTTATTACTATATATATAATATACGTGGGGCACTACAAAAGTTTTTTCACTAGCCTTTGGGATAAATATTCGGAAGACAATTTTAATTTATTTTTTCAAAGTACCGTCCTTCAGTATCAATGAATTTATGCATTCGAATAAACCAGTCTTCGAAACAGTTTTTAAAGTCTTCTTTCGTGAGACTGTCAATGGCTTGTTGTAAAGCAGTTAACATTTCGTTGTCGTCGTTAAACCAAATACCACGTAACTGATTCTTGAGCTTCGGGAATAAGAAGAAGTCACAAGGACTTAAATCTGGAAAATATGGTGGATTTGGATACTGTTCTACATGATTTTCCAGCAAAAATTCATCGAACCAAAAGTGCCGAGAAAAGA